AGCCCACTTCCCTCCCCCTTCCTTCAGCATTCTCTAAACAAAGGGGCATTTTATACTCGATTTTAAGAACTTTAAAAAGAGGGACTTTTTTAGTTGCTTAATAATAATATTAAACTTTAGACTTTTTTTTATATTTGTTATATTGATATTTTTTAATTTATGCTTATTTAGTTTTTTGTTTTACTTGTAAGGAGAGTACTTTAGAAAGATTTGCTGGTACAGTTTACAATTTTATTTTTTTTTTAGAGCGGGTTTTGTGACACAGTTAACAATTAGATAAGTGTTTTAATGTGGCTATTTGTTGAAGAGATTTAGCGGCTGGGTGTGGATTAGCTTGTACAAGGGGCAAACCCAAAAGCAATAGCCACTGCAGCACTGTTTGAGAACTTATAGTTATAAAGTTTTAGGATTTTGTTCGCCGGAACAGAAGCTTTAGTTTTTTAAGAGGTTTAGTTTTTTAGGTATTGTTTGCTTTTGGCTTTTCCGGGTCGCGGTGGGAAGAGCTGGCGGTGCTCCCTCGAGGTCCGAAGTTGTCTGCTTCTGGCCCCGTCCTAGGGGCTAGCTTGACTCGGGTGTGGTGTATTCAAGTGTTTTGCTCTTTTACTCGAACAGCAGTGTGAGAGGTAAGAAGGACTTGGAAAGGGCCCGCCCACCGGGGTTGGAGAGGCTTGTGTTTTTACTTTTTTACATAGACTTAGTCTTCTGGAGCGATCCGGTGGGCAGGAACATCAGCGGGTAGGGACTGAAATTGAGCCGCATACCTGTGGAGAGATTTGAGAGTGGTTTGAAGGGAAACAACATATTTGGTTAGTTTTTCGTCACCCCAAGTGGCTAAATTAGTTATAAATTTTGGATTAGCAAATCTGGTGTATGGCTTGCCAAATAAAAGTTTAAAGGGAGAGAGACGGAGCCGGCTTTTAGGGGCAGTTCGAACTGCTAAGAGGGCCAAAGGCAGAGCCTGAAGCTATTTTAACTTAGTTTGAGCACACAGCTTAGAAAGTTTAAGTTTTAAAGTCTGGTTTATTTTTTTTATTTGTTTTGAAGATGGTGGTTTTTAAGGGGTGTGTAGAAGCCAGTTAATACTTAGGGCTTTTGCAATGTTTTGAATAATTTGGGCAGTAAAATGAGTCTTTTGATTAGAGTCAATAGACTTAGGGGGGCCAAACCTAGGAATGACATGGTTTAATAAGGTTTTTTTATTTTTACGGCAGTTGCTCGTCTAGTCGGGAATGCTTCAGTTTATTTAGTTAGTTGACACACGATTACAAGGAGGTACTTGTAGCCCTGGCATTTAGGCATTTTTGAGTAGTTAATTTGAAGTTGCTTGAAGGGTGTGTATGTTTATAACTTGGCTTTAGGGGGGTTTTTAGGTTCCCCCCTTGGATTGAATTTTACACAGATGTTACAAGTGGCAAGGACTCGTTTAGCTTTTTGGAATACTTTAGGAGCATACTAAAGTCTATTTACAGTAGTTGCTATGGCCTTTGCACTACTGTGGGTTTTTTGGTGTAATTTAAATAGGGCAGGCCGTAGAGCAGCTCGGGGCAATGCTTTTTTTTTATTTGGCAGTTGCTATTTTTCTCTTCGGGTTTTGGTGGCCCCCATGCTTTTTTAACGCTCGACTTCTGATGGCTTAGGGGTAAAAGGGGCTGGGACTGGAGTTGGCGGGGTGGAGGATGTGAGTACTATCTGGTTGGTAACATATGGCTGTAGGGAGGCTGCTTTTGAAGCTGAATTAGCCAACCGATTCTTATTAATGGTGGGATTGTTTTTTTTTGATGAGCCCGAACATGGACGATGGCAATTTTAGATGGCAGATGTATGGCTTTTAATAATTTTAGGATTAAGGGCTCATGGGCCACTTTAGTGCCACTGGAGGTAATAAAGCCACGCTTTGCCTACAGTTGGCCTGTGGCATGGCAAACACTAAAGGCATATTTCGAGTCAGTATATATGTTTACTGACTGACTTGCTGCCAACTCACATGCTCGGGTGAGGGCTATTAATTCTGCTGCCTGAGCTGAGGTGGAAGGTCCCAGGGGAGCAGACTGTAATACATCAAACTGAGTAGTTACTGCAAACCCAGATACCCGTTGGCTCTTCATGACCCGTGCTGAACTATCAGTATACAGTTTTAGTTCAGCATTTTGAATGGGCACATCTGAAAGGTTTACTTGAGGTTTTTTTTGATGTTGCACTATTTGAAGGCAATTATGTGAGGGCTCATAATTATAGTCCGGGAACGGTAAAAGGGTTGCAGGGTTCAAGGTATGGCACTGTTCAATTTTTAAATTGGTCTTGGACAATAAAGAAACTTTTAAATGCGTTAATTTTTGAGAGGTCAAATGTTGCGTGCTTTTTTGGACTAACAATTGTTGAGCTGCATGAGGGGTCCGTAAGGTCAGTGGATGGCCCAAGGTAATTTTTTTCGCTTGGGGTACCAGGAGACCAGCAGCAACCACTGCTCGGAGACAGCCAGGAAAGCTCTGTGCCACAGCATCTAATTTTTTGGAGAAATAGGCCACAGGTCGTTTTCTGGGTTTAAAAGCTTGAGTAAGGACACCAGAGGCCACCCCAAGTTGCTTATGTACATAGAGAACAAAGGGTTTGCGATAATCAGGGAGTCCAAGGGCTGGGGCTGAGACCAAAGCTGTTTTAATTTCCTGGAAGGCTTTGATGGCCCCAGAATCCCAGTGAAGGGGCTCCTCAGCATCATGGGTGATTTGTTTAAAGAGGGGTTTTGCCATTTCCCCAAAACCTGGAATCCAGGAACGGCAGAATTTTGCCAGGCTTAAAAATTCCTGCATTTCGCGTTTTGTTTTTGGTCGGGGAATGTTAAGAATTGACTGAATACGGGTACTAGATAACGCTTGATACCCAGGGGTGAGTACATGACTAAGATAAGTTACTTTGTTTTTGGCAAACTGCAACTTAGAAGGAGATACTTTATGTTTTTTGTTTGCTAAGCAATTTAGCAAGTAAATAGTGTCTGTTTTACATGTTACTTGATTTGGAGAACAAACTAGGACGTTATTTACATACAAGAGATATGTAGACTTACCTGGTAGGTTGATATTAGTTAAGTCACGTGTTAGGATAGAGGAAAAAATAGTCGGGGACTTAACATATTCTTGCGGGAGCTGAGTCCAGGTTAGTTGTTTTGCTCTCCTAGTTTCTGGGTCTGTTTATGTAAATGCAAAGATATTTTAGCTGTTTTTATTTAGAGGAATACTAAAAAAAGCATTACACAAGTTTATTACTGAATAACAAGCAGTATTTGCTGGAATGGCAGTCAGGATTGTGTGAGGGTTTGGTACTACATTGTGTTTAGTTTGGACAACTTTATTTACTGCACGTAAGTTCTGGACAAATCGGTATACCGGTTTTCCCTCTGAGTCTATGTTAGGTTTTTTTACTGGCAGGATGGGAGTATTGAAAGGAGACTTGGTGTGAACCAGCACTCCCAACCGTAGGAATGTGGTGATAAGACTCCGGAGGCCAAGCAGAGCTTTTTGGGGGATGGGATACTGACGAATCCGAGGAATTTTAATGCCTGGCTTTAGGGTTATACGCGCTGGCTCTGTCTGGAGAGTCTCTAAGTCTGCCCTTGAAGTGCTTTACAGGGAGATGTTTACTTCCTGTCTGAGTCGCTCGGGTAAGATTTGGTCCGCAGGCAGGATCGGGTTCTTTGAAACTTGGGTTAGAACAGCACATAGCTGGGGAAGTTGGGTTTGAGGCAACCGAAGAATGATTTTGTTATCTGAAAAGAAAATCTGAGCACGTAGTTTACACAACAGATCTCTGCCTAAGAGGTTAACTGGGGAATCCGGGGCTAGCAGAAAGGCATGGGAGGAGGAGACACTAGAGATTTTTACAGCAGCCTCCTGTAATACAGAACAGTTAAATGGCTTTCTGCTTATACTTATTACTGGAATGCTCTTATCTGTAAGGCTTTTTTTTTGGCTTGGCAGTAACAGTAGAAAGTGCAGCTCTTGAATCTAAAAGACAAGAATAGGTGGTTCCTCCCAATGTTAGGCGAACTTGGGGGTCTGTGGAGGAACAAACATAAGTGGTAAAATTATTTGAATAGGTGACAAGAGGACCCCCTGGTTGCCGTCATTTTTTATTAGCAACAGCGTCTGTTCTTGTCACAGCCATTTGTTGTTGAGGTCGGTTTGGGCGACGGGGTTGTCGTCCAGTAGGTCTGTTCGGACACTCTCTCTTCCAGTGGCCAAGCTGCTTACAGTAGTTACATATATTATTGGCATGTTTTGGGTTTTTTTTATAATTTGATTTTGGTTGCTACTTGGGGGGTTTTTGTTTTTTTTTTTGTTTTTTATTTTTAGTGTTTACAAGGGCTGCTAGCATTCTTACCTGTTTGGTCTTTTGAACTTTTTTTTTTGTATGATATACTCGGGTGGCTACGCTTACTAGTTTTTTTAGGGATTTTTTTTTAGCACTCTTAAGCTGCTGCAACCGCTTTTTGATGTCCGGGGCTGACTGGGAAATAAAAATAAGCCTGACCGTGGACTGTGTGTCCATGGCTTTGGGATTTATATTAGTATGGATACAAAATGCTTTACAAAGTTTTTTATAAAAGTCAGAAGGGTTGTTTTTTTTTTTGCACAGTATTATGAATTTTTGTTTAATTTAAAGTTTTTTTTTTTGCTTGTTTTATGCTTGTTAAAATATAATTTAGGAATTTTTTCAGATCTGCTTGTTGGGTTAAATTATTTGGGTTCTAATGGGGCGGATTGGCGAGCTTTATAAAATTGCGACTGTCGTTGGCAGCTTCTGCAGCCTCCCGGGCCCCCCTCAGTACCCGCTCTTTCTTTTCTGTGCGCAATAAGCAATTTAAAAGTTGGCCCACGTCTTGCCAATCAGGACTATGAGACTGGAAAATGGCACGGAATCGCTTGTGAACGACGTCTGGGTCGTCCCTAAGGCGAGGTGTAGTGGTTTGCCAGTTTATAAGGTCAGCAGTGGTAAAGGGGACATGAACATAACGGTCTACAACATTTTTATTCGTTGTAGGGACTGGGATGGTCCGGAGGGGTGCTTGGACATTAATTACTTTGTTTTTATAAAGTGCCCCCTTCCTTGTATGGGACGGACTAAGGCTGGGAACAGACAGGGAGGTAGTGTACCCACTGCTGGTGGCTTCACTAGCTGATTTGCTTGCTTGCATTGTGGTGTTTTCAGTTTTTATTGGTAATATTTGTTTTGGTAGACCTGCTGTCCTGGTCTCCGTTGAGGAGGGTACCGGGTTTCCCCTAATTGGTAATGCTGCCGCCGGGGATGGGCGTGGTCTAGAGCAATATATGGGGGGGATATCCTCCAAATAATCAGCTTTATGAGGGACAGAAGCTTTCGGGAATAGAGGGGCTTGAACCTGTACTTTTTTTATGCGACGATGGGCCTCATCGTCCCACAAAAACTAATAGTCCATTTGCTTTGGCGTTTGGTTTTTTAATGTCAGGCGTAAGGGGGTTAAATGGGTAGGAATATTAAAGGAGCTATACTCGGGCCACGCAGTTTCTAAGGCTGGCCAGTCCTTGGTGCAAAGTTGTAAAAAACGCTTTTTTGACATCCCTTTTTGAACACCGGGTAAGGGCCATTTGCTTAACATATAATTTAAAGGACTATTTTTAGAGGGTTTTACTAGAGACTTATTTATTTGCTTGCTGACACTTTAACAGAGAATTACACAGAGAACAGAGGGAATTATGGTCTAAACAGAGACTTACTTATTTGCCTGCTGACACTCTAACAGAGAATTACACAGAGAACAGAAGGAATTATGGTTTAATAGGATTTTATTACAGGAATTTTTACTAATACACATTTAACACTTAATGTATAAGACAGAAATTTATAAACCGGTTAACTAGACTAGAACTAGATAGTGTTTTTTTATTTTATTAGGACTTACTTTATCGGAGCACGAACCCCGGGGGCCGCGGTGAAGCAGAGAAAA